AAGGAACCTTTTAACATTTTTAGTAGCCTATTTTTGCTTAAGAAAGCAATTTTACATAAATATGAAGTCCTTTAAAAAAATCTTATTCAGGTTTTGCTACCGTTGAAATATTCAGTTTTTCTAGCTGTGAGTACATTTAAGGATAATCTTTTCAGCTCTTCAGATGTTTAAAAACATTTTATGTTTAGCAAAAGCATGTAGACTCTTCACTAGATGAGAAAATGTAAATATTTGGGTGTAAATAATCCCACCAAATTTTAGGCACTCTGAGGAAGTTTAGGAACATAATGGGAAAGCAAGACTTCCAGAGGTGATTTGGATTCCTTACCATTGCATTTCTTTTTTCCCCCATTGCAAAGGGAGTGGAGATGGCCTCCTACGTAGCTTGTGTGTCTCAGTTTCGTTCCTGAAATTTAGTGAAACTAATTTGGGATGTTGAAGTTAGTTTTTCAGAATATATTGCCTTAGGATTTTGAAACATTTATGAGAATATGCTTAAAATTGCTATGAACTATTACCTGTTTATTACTTTTGTTAAATAAATGCAAATCTAATTTCATGCAGCTTGTAGGTACTGTGTAGCTAAAAAAACAACTGAGCAGCTCCTTTCCCAAGAGTGCAGAGGTACTAATTGGAAGTAACAACGTGTGTTTTCTTCCTAGTGCTTACATAAAGCTATGAAGCAGCCTGATATATGTCTGAGTAAAAGTTGTAGTTCCTGTCTTGTTTGAATCTTGGGATCTAGTACAGTGTTTTTTGTCCTTGTATAGAACGTTGAAATTACTTTAATATCTGTTCTGACTGGAGTTATGGATCCTGTGTTTTTGATTAATTTTCCTAAATTTAATTAAATTTAAATCACCTCTGCTGCTTTCAAGGTTAAATTAAGTAAAGAAGTATTACATTCCTTTTATTAACAGAAAAATAAATAAATCCCCAGATAAAGCAGAGATAGATTCTGCAAGAAGCAGAGGGGAGGGGCTTCTTTCCTTTAAAATAATAGTCTCATTCTTTGAGAGAGACTTTGCAGAGGAATGGAAGACTATAAGGCTTACAAAAGAACATGAATGTGTTTTGTTTGTAAAAGTTTTTTTTAAGGTAATAATAGTAGTAAAGATTTTAAAATTCTTTTTCTTGGGTACAGTGTGCTTAAATAATTAATCTACATTATTTTAGCAATTTTGGCTGCAGGCTGTTTCCACTGCTGTGTAGACAGGCCTAAGTTAATATACTTCAGCAGTACAATGACAAAAAACCCACAATTGTGATAACCAACACAACAATTTCCAAAATACCTTTATACAGATGGCTCCCCACTTTTAAATTTAGTGCTACCAGTTCTTTGGGATAACTTGATAACTTTGCAGATGATCTGATGTGCTCCTTGAGTTTTACCTGACGAGGACAAAAGGCTATATATGCTCTCTTGTAGCTTGTAAATGTTTTAATATCTACTAGATACTAAACTATCAGCTGTGGAGTTAACTGGAAAAAACCAGTTCTTTCAGTGATACCAGTAAGTTTTCGTAGCATCTTTGAATCATGTTTAAAACTACTCGATTTATTAGTTCATAATAAACAAAAACAAACCAGCAAAACAAACAAAAAAGGAGTTATGTTTAAGGTAGATATCTATTTGCAATTAAAGATGAGGAACTTCTGCATGTATACAGATGCCAAAGACATGGTCCAGTAGCTTTACATTCTGGACTGGTTGTTTTCTGTCCTAAAGTTTTACTTGCTTTTCTCTCAGCTGACTAATTACATTTTAGCTACAAAACCAGTAATTTCATTGAATATTTCTTTAATGTGCCCACTGTTAACTTACTGTTGGAGAGTGCAAACATGCTATCAGATATCACTGGTAAGAATGTTTGTACACATGCAGATAGATATGCATGTCTTTTGAGTGTTTACTGATTTATATTTTAAGGCTTATCACTGTTACTAATAATTTATATTGCACCAATAATGTACAAAGTGCAGTGTCTGTATATATAGATCCTAGTCTTATTTTTATTTGAAGTCATTCATAGTAAGTTTCTATTTCATTAAAGTAATTGCTTTAGTTTTTTTTAAATTGGTGTAGAAAATGCTATGTATACATTAAGAAGAGTGAATTGGCTTTAAAGTGTAGCCAGACCTGAAATGGACATTTAGGACTGGTGTTAATCTCACAAAATGCTATTGACAATTAGAGGTGATAATAAGCAATTTATTATGTGTTTTCATTATTATCAGCAACTGCTTAGGAGTAAAAGTAGAGAAAAACAAAGTCGTGTGTTTTTCTGAGTGTGTAACTTTCAAAGGTGAATTACAGAGAGGAAGCCAGAGGTTGAAAAAAAATTAAGGGTACCACAAAAACAAAAATATCTTTTAATCTTATAGTATCTCTGAAGCAGAAATAAACAAAAAATCATCATTCGTTGGGGCCTTGCTTTGTTTTCTTAAAACTATCTTTTATAAAAGCTTGAAAGTTGAGAATGGCTCACATTGCTTTCATATTATCTGAAATTATTTTTCAAGTATTTTCAGTAGCCAGTAAAAGGAGCAGTGACAAGCTCCTTTACGTGTTTTTTGAAATGGTTATGTAGTCATTAAAACTTCAGGGACTTGAAGGCTGCTTGGGATACGTGCAGCATGGTGTGCTGCCTATCCCTTTACTTTGGCAAAGAAATACAGGAGAAGCCAGATCCTCCCTCCTTTTGCTGATGTCAGAAGCAGCAAAAGAGACCTGAGTGTAAATTTCTTTTAAAGATGACAAGTTATTGTAGGATGACCACTCCTATTTTAAATGGGAATTAGTTTTGTAACTCACAGAGGTTTCAGACTTTTTCTTTATCAAGAAATGGTTAGAAAGTTGCATTGAAAACCACTCCTACAGCAAAGTTAATAAATAATAAATATTACCTCTTATTAATCCATATTTTAGTTTAAGTCTAGCTCATGGCAATTTGCCTCCTTGGGGAACATTGGGATTCTTTACAAGAGAAGGTGATGAGCTGTAGTCCCCAAGGAATTAAATGGTGAAAACAATCTTGGTTTTGTACATGCTAATATAGATCTGTTATTCCCTTTCCACATCTATCACAACACATTCTAAATTGTGGCTGATCTTCTATGCAAATAGCTGTCTTATTAGACACTGGGCTCTGTGTGCCAATGTCTCCGTGGGTTTCTCAGGCATTTGCTATGTAACCATCAAAGCAGTGGAAATGAATGATGATTACTGCATCCCTTTGAAGAGCAAAGAGGACTTGAGGTTCTAGATGTGAGAGTCGGTGACACTGAGCCACGCAGGCAAACGCGAGGATCTCTGTGGCTTATTTTAAGTCAGGAAATAATTTTTGCCTGTGTTTTCTTAGTCTGTTTTATTGGCATTGCTAAAACTGCAAAAATCTTTCACAGCTGATGTTTTGTTATAAACCATTAGTAGACTATGGAAATTGCAAAAGGCAAGTCAAAACAGTCTCTTAACAGTGGCATAAAAAAGCCAAGAACTAGTTTTGCAGTGTAAAAATGTATCTGTTACCTACTCAATTACAAAGTTCAAACAATACTTCTATTTTTCCATTCTAATTATTATGATGTAAATGTTATGAAGTACAACCCAGTCTAGAGAATTTCCGTGAAGCATAATAGAGGGGGAAAGAAACATAACCCAGTGAATTACAGTTCACTGCTTACGTGTTTTACATAAAACAGGGAGTTTTCTCGGAATTCAACCAAATTAATGTATGGAAAAATTAGAACACTATAATTGAATTTTCAATACAGATTAAAAATTAGTGATGCTCTTCTCTACCTTGTTATTATTCCTGAATACATTTTAAAAAAGGTTGCTGGCTTTGGAGCATCCAAGTTCATTTTATGCCATGTATCCCATAAGGAGCCTGGATTTGTCACATGACATTAAATGACAGTAATTCCTATAGAACAGACGAATATAAAATAATAAACTTTGTGCTTTTAAAATGCGCAAATAACTAGTGGGCATCATTCCTGCAGCTATATTTTAAATCATGTTTGAAGCTATGGAGAAAATAATGGTGAATGCTTTAAATTTGGGATGCTGGCAGTAGTGTTCAGCAGTGCCATGGCATGATTTTTTGGGTCGTGATTTGGCATCTCAGTGCCTTCCAGGGCTGCACTTCCCAGAAAGCGTGCCTTGGCAGCGACCAGGGATGCTCGTCTTGCTGTAGCACAGCTGGTTATGCCTAACAGAAAAGTACAACCCTTGCAGATACTGCATGGCCATATGTGCACAATCTGCACATGGTTTGTGGCTACCCAGGATGACTCAGCCAAAGTTTGCCCTTGGCATGGTGCTCGCCAGGGCCAATTGGGAAAAGGCAGGGGTTGGCTGCTGTGAGTCTTCTGTGCTTGAGCAGTAAATCTGACACTTCTTGAAAACGTCAGCCCTCTTGTGAGTGTGGGTGTTATGTTGGGACTCTTGTGTTGTAGAGGCAGTCAGATGGTGGGGCTTATCATCACCATGGTGAGTAATGTCTTCAGCCTAGCCAAAATGGTTCAATCCCAGTGTTTTGAGCAGTAAGCATGACTGTAACAGCCAGTTATTTCTTAACCAGGGAAAAAGAGGTGAAATTAACGTGTTTGTAGAATCTGCCACTTGAGTGGCAGCCCTCTGAGGGATGAATATGAAACCATAAGGTTTTGCATGTTGAAAGATCAGGAATTTGCTAGAGCACTGTTTGGATGATGCTTGTTCAGTTACATAAATGGTGTGGAAGCACCAATATACCTGAAAGAACATCTTTGTATGGATGATTATGCAGTTCCTTGTGCAATCCTAGTGTCACCTCATTGTGAGGAGGTGTGCAACATTACCGTGCAACATGAGAATTCTATTCAAGAGTCAGGATGGTTGCTACTTAAATGCAATGAAGGTGATTTAAACTATCAATGCCATGCCTGAAAAGTGTGAAATGCATACAATCCCCACTCTCAGTTTTTGTTCTCGATTTTCTTTTCGTTCACAGATATCTAGAACCCATGGCAGGAAGATAGGAGAGTGTGGGGTTCCTGTGTTTTAGGTATCTGCTCCTCTGTTTACTCAAGGTGGCTGGAAGGCTGTGTATGCAGGTGGGTTTCCTGAGCAACTCCAACTCCTGTGTGTGGTGTAAATGTATTTTAAATAATAGAAGCAGCTCACAACACTACATTCATTCTCTGGTTTACTAAAGAAATAAATTATATAGGAATGTAATTCAGTGGTACCAAATGCTGAATTACAGTGCAATCAGTTTAAATCCTTCCTTTTTTTCTTTATTTTCATTCAAACTAACAGGCATTCTGTAATGTTAATAATCCGTGCAATGGAGAAAAAGGTATGTTTAGAATGTATCTAATAGTCTTCAGAATAGTGATGATTAACTCCAGTGTCTCCCTGTACTCTGGGAAGGCTTATGTCTTTGTGTATAATCATGTAAATGTTGCTTGTTACCATTTTTCTGATGTTATAAGCAATTGATTTTGTTAGTAATTTATTTAGTAATAATATTGTGGTTTCTGGTTTGGTTTTTTTTGTTGTTTTTTGTTTTTCATTTTTGGTGGTGTTGTTTTGCTTTTTTTTCCCTGATACTTACAGTGATTTTTGGATTGAAAACAATGGGTAGAAAAGATGCCTCTACATCAAGGACTCCTGTTGACCAGTACAGGAAACAAATAGGTAAGACTTTGAAAGAAAAGTTTGTATGCTTAAAATAAAACCAAAGCTTTTTTCTTTTTTTTTTTCCCAGCAAGGCCCACTCATGTAACAAAACGTAACATTCCTCTTCAAAAACTTAATATTGTACATGCTGTGGAGTAATTAATTAAGTTTTATTTTAAGTGACTTCAGATAAAGTATATGCTGTGTGTTTGGAAACACTAGTGAAATACTGCAGTGAAATGGTTTCATAATGTTTCTGAATTGTTGGAACTTTCCTAATTTTCCTGTTTGTCTCTAATTTCATATATGGGCATTTCTAACAAGATACTTTCCTCATTCATAACATTTTTTGATGCACTGAATGTTACAGACTTTTGCATTGCATAACTGTATTTGTTTTCACACTAATGTATGTTTTAAACATGTTAATTTTTTTCCTTAGGACTTTATCTGTCCTTACCTATATGTAGATAACATGTATACAAAGTATGTACATGCACACATGTACCTTCACACAGATACTTACACAGCAAATGCAAATCCCTCTTTCTTTGCATAAATACCAAGGTGAGTTATTTTTGAAAACCATATATGAGGATTCTGTCTCTGTATGTTAAATAATATAAGAGTACAGTATTTTGAAAGTTTATATATAAAACAAAGTACCTTAATCTGTACTCAGTTATTTAAGAAAATTACTTTATTTTACAGTTGCTAAGCACACACATCTGTTTAAATATGCAGAAAACAACAAGTGTCTGGGGAAAAAAGGTTGTTTACAATGTGCATGCTCAAGGTGAAAGAGCTAGGGTTATGTGAACAGTCACATCATCTTAATTTTTTTAGTGCTGCCTGATTATTTTAATATAACTGTTTTAATGGTCTTTTCAACTTCTCATCAAGTTGTAAGTGAGGAATTATTTCATATTTATCTGTTTTAGATAGGTGTGGAGTAGTCTTATGTTTCCTAATCTTGGTTAGTTTGTGTGGCTGATTTCCTGGGCTCATTCTATGAGAAACATGGCTGAAAGGTTGAGTGCCTTTTTGGATGAGAAGCAGATATAATAGAAAAATGTTTAAAAATATGAACTCTCTGCTTTTGGGTTTTTTAGGTTTTGTGTAAAAACCTTGCAAGGAAACTGTTGTCCAGTAGAAGATGACACTACAAATATTTCACCCAAGTGTGTTTGGTGACAAATGGGAGCCCTGCAGCTTGCTTTTGTGACAACTCATCCTATGTAACTGGGTGCTTGGATGATTGTATCAGCTTTTGGGCATTTTCTCCACTTGCTTTGCATCATGGTCACTTGTTTTTCAACCACCACCTTTAGGATTTTTTTAGTTTCTGTGAACACTTTCAGGCGACTATGGTTGGACTTGTTTTTTGAAATCCTCTGCAGGGTGAAAGTGTGGTGATCAGCAGGTTCCTTGGAGACATCAGGGCAGGTGTAAAGCTGTATTTAAGTAGGAGGCTCAAATAATTACCTCCCACTCTTTCACAGCTTATGCTGTTTCTTGCACATGACTACTGCTGGCACAGTTGGGCTTCTCAAAGCTGTGAGATGCCAGGACTGATAAACTGTGCTTTGAGCAGGGGAGAGGATGCTATGCTGTAGCAAGGCTCTAGGGGTATTGGTAGGTGGGGTCCAGGACTCAGAGGTGCTGTTATGCTGCTGACTTGACAGTTTTGGCCTGGTGTATTGTCTGAACAATTTGGCACCTTCCCAATACACATATAGTTATATCTATATATATATAGTTATGCAGTGCAGCACTGGGCACTGCAAAATATGGTGGGTTTCATAATGAGCTCATTTTCTTTAGATGCAAGACTTTGCTCTTAACTTGGCAAAAACAAATGTTAAAAATTACTGTAGGGAAGAATCTCATGCAAGTAAACTGCATAACCGAGGAGGTGTTTCTGTGATTGTGATACTCCTTAGAGGACAAAGAGCACAAATAGACTGCCCTTTTGCTCTGATGATGGTTGTTTCAGCTCCCATTCTGGTCATTCACTGATACTGCTATAGAGTTTGCCAATGGAAATTAGTTCTCTGAACTTAATAAATGTAAGAGGGGGAGTTTGAAAATTTATGGATACAATTTTAAACTTAAGTTTTACAGGTGTGTTTGAGTTTTATGTGTAACCATTTGGGGCTATCTTTAGGCCTGGTAGCTGAGCTTAGTGGAGTGAGCCCTCTAGACTCATTATGCCTTTAAGATGTATTATAGGACAAATAGCATCCAGTATTGCCCTAATGAATATATAAGTGATGTTGGTGATTTTTTGTCATTATTTCTTGATTTTTTTTTTTTGTTCTTATATAGTTTTGCAAAACTGGTAATAATTCATCCATTTGTCACAGGATGGTTGAGGTTGACAGAGACCAGTAGAGGTCCTCTCATCCATATGCCCTGCTCAAGCATGGCCACCTAGAGCTGGAATAGTGCCCAGGACAGTGTTCAGATGGCTTTTAAATATCTCCAAGGATAGGAACTCCACAACATCTCTTCCTATGTTTGACTATCCTCAAAGCAGAAGGTTTTTTTCTTATGTGTTTCTGTGTGTTCCCATTGCGTCTAGTCCTGTGACAAGGCACCACAGAGAAGAGCCTGGCTCTGTCCTCTTTGCACCCTCCCTTCAAGTATTTATATACACTGATAAAGTCCTCCTTGAGCCTACTCTTTTTCTCTTAGGTAAACACTCTCAGATCTCTCAGTCTTTCCTCATAGGAGAGATGCTCTAGATTCTTCATTTTAACTCCTCTTGATTCTTCTTGGCCTGATTTCATTCAGGTACTTATTAGAAATTATACAGAAAGTATTTTTTTTAAATCAGTCATTCTTTAAGACTTAGGTTTGACAGCTTAGGTACTTTTGCAGGGATGTTTTAGTGTGAAGATGTTCAACAGATGAACCCTCAGAACACAGAATGCCCTAATGCTCCAGGCTCACTTGTTTTGGAGGTGGACATTTGGTCACCCTTTCTGAGGTAGATTATATCTAGTAAACAATGTGAGGCTGCACAGGGCCTGTCTTTAAAAAAATTAATGTATCAAATGCATTTAAAGCTCAAAATCCATGCTTGGAGTGATTGCCGGCCTTCTTTTCCAGGCATTTGGTATCTATGGATTATTGAAAACATTATGATAGATGCTGGCTGAACAGCTACCTCCTTCTGACTAATGGTGTGATGTTATTTTTTAGCTTACAACTTAATGTTTTCTAGCCTTGCTGGATAGAAGGTAACCAGATTGAAACATTTTTCATACCTTTTTTTTGATGGAAAATGGCAGCCTTCAAGGAACAACATGTCACAAAGTCATATCAACTTCCAACACAATTTTCAGTTAGATGTTTAGTGGAGTAATTTGAAATAGAAGCAGATTTTTAATTTCATTTTGTTCCAAGCTTTCTGTTTTGTTCTGAGTTTCCATACGGCGTGCCACATGTTTGCCCTGTGCCATGGTTCAAGTTCATGTTGATTACTTCAGTTCAGCCGTTTGCCTTTTTCTCTTCTCCATGAGAGCAGGATCACTCGTGTCTTGTTTGCCTCTGTGCCGCTAGCGGTTGCTGTTTGCTTCAGTCGCATTTTCTGAGGATTCCCCCAGCAGAGAGATTGATACTGCTCTTCCCTGTCAGCTGGCTTTCAGCCATCTCTCCTACCACCAGCCAAAATTTGTCTATAGTGCCACTTAAGCTAGTGCTCCAGTATTTGACAGTGGCACTGCCTTCTCAGTGGGGAGCAGAGGCAGTCTTTTATATCAGACCAAACTGGCAGTGGTTTCATGAAGCCTATCCCCACGTGGACAGGGAAAACCACAGCAACCTTTTCAAACTGGCTTCAGCCGTGCCTGGAGGAGGGAGGATGGCACCAAGGGATCTCTCCCTGTTCAAATCTCCATGAGCAGCCAAGGCTGGAGAAGAAATGAGGAAAAGTAATTTTAACACTTCTTATTCATCTCTCACTCACATACCTAAATATATACCTGTAGTGCAGCAGCAAACAGGGAAGCTCTTCTGCAGAGCGTTTCCTTCTCCCTGCTGCTGTTTGTGCTGCTGTGCTTAATTTGCTGGAATCTGATGAAAGGTGTGAGGCAGTATGCATCCTTCTGCATTTATGCAGCTTTGCTCCACAAATGCTGTGAAAATAGCAACAGGTTTTGTACCATATTTGCTTTGTTTACTGTTATGTGTGCTTTAAGTTCCCAGAACAATTCCACATGTATATTTTCCATCCTTCTTCATCTGGTGTGTCGCTTGCTCGGCATGGAAGCCGCAGGATTTGTGGGTAGTGTTCATGACTTGTGTGACTGTGGGATCCTAAGCAGGCATACTGAGAGGATTATAGCATAACTAAAACCTGGTCTACAAATCAGGAATAGACATACTTTTGGCTCCCATTACTATTGTGTTGCTGTAGCATAATTTTTCATGAGGAAAGGTGGTTTGCCAATCGTTCAACCTTCAATTTGTAGACTCAGAGGTCTACCTGTTGTCTGCTCTATCTCTCCTGACTTGCCAGCTTGATCTTTTAGAGGCTGGAGCGTATATAGCCATAGCCCAGGGGTTCTTTGGAGCACATAAGGCTCCCCACATCCCTGGGAAGGAATAAAGGTTATGAATGAAAATACAGTCTCTTTTTGTTTTGGAAAGCACAAGCTGCTCACTTTGGTAGAGTGAGCACGGTGACTTGGTGTCACAATCCGCTGTTAATACAGACAGGAGTCACGATAGTTCGTTTTGATCTCAATGGGTGCAAAGGACAACAGCAGGGGACAAATCAGTTTGCTCAAAGCAGAAATGCACTTTCATTGAGTGCCAACAACTCGGTTTTGCGATAGAGGGAGAGTTAAAGGAAACAAAGTAAAGAGAGAGATAAGGGGGGAATGGGGAGTAGCTACCAGCAGATGAGACGGATGTCCCCGTGGTCTGGCCCAATAGACTCCGGTGTCCTCGTGGTCCCAGCCAATAGATGTGTCTTCTGTGGGGAGATCTCAAAGGATTCTCCAGAGGGT